GTTCTTGCTGTTGTTGTGTTCGTGTTGGATAGGATGTGATGTGACGGAGGAAGCATACATCTGACTGTGAAACTGCACACTCATTAGCTAAAAGACTAAACTAAGGTCCAAAAGGGCTAATTTTATGAATTAATACTTTTTCAGCTCTTAACTTAGCCCATCGTCTGTGTCAGCATGCTTGTAGTGGGAAAAAAACTGAGTTCTGATAACTAAGAAAGAAAGCACTTTTTGCATTCGCTGCATTTTTTAGCTTTTACATATAAAAGCCTGCACATCCAAAGGAAGAAAATGTGTGGCAAGAATTTAATCTCTTTTTTTTCATCTCTAGTTAAGGAACCAATCATTGAAGAGAATTAAAAGATGCAAAAACAGGAGTAAAAAAACAAACAAAAAACCCAAAAAACGTGCAGATCTCTGTATGTTTAAATTCTCGGCTGGTAGCAACAGAGACTGAGTTTGCAGAAACACTACATGGCTCTCATTCCCAGCAGCACAATGGGAACCAACAACACTTCAGACTGCACATGGCCACAATATTGCAAAAGTTATTTCTGTCTCTGCACACCGTCTGGTTACAGATTCTAATCTCCTTTGGCTCACAGAAATTAATTGTGTGCTACCGCGACTGTGGTTTGGCATGACAACAGCAGCTCGGCTTTATATTATATCACACGGCTTTTTTGCTTGCTCATGCTCTGCACCATTTTCTCTGGTTTGTTGGAGCAATTTATGGAAGCGCACACTGACAGAGTTCATCAACAAACTGGATGGTTTTCAGTGTCGACACTGAGACTTTTTTTTTCCCTGCCTGATCCCAAAACAGCGTAAAGCAGCTGTTTGCACTGTCATTTTTGTTTCTTCCCAAGACCCTTACAAAGGATGGCGAGCCTGCTTAAATCATACCACCAGCACTGCCTCCTGCCAGTGCTTTTATCAACAGATACACTGGGGTGTGGACGTGGACAGATTGGGAGCTGACAGGGAGCTGGCTCCTGAAATAGGCTGTCCCACGAGGCACAGCGTGACTCTGGTTCTCCTTAAGGAGGCTCCTTGTGAATGCAGCCAAACAGCTGCGTCAGTTGCTTCCTCCTCTGGCTCCCTGTGACATTTCATTTACATCACACAACACAATTTATCCCCCCCGGAGAGGTGAGCACACCTGGCACACAGCAGAGGGGGCCTTGCAGGACCTGTCATTTTAAACTCTCTCGTGAGATAGAATCTGAACATCAGTCTGACAGGTCCTTTCCATCGTTTGTTGGCTTGGGTTTTTAAAGTAATAAGACCTAATCTTTTTTTAGTCAGAATAAAACATTTGAAATACAGCATTTAATTCGATTGAAGTGATACTTTAGAACTTATCTTCAAAGATTTTCTTTTAATACTATGAAAGTTCTTTTCATTGGTATCAAATGTGTAGTGCTTTAGGTTCATAGAAAACGGTCTTATGTAGTTAAAACCAAAACATAAATAAATCAAACACCTTAACCTTTTCAATGGGCCCCTTTTGGTGTGTTTTTGACAAACGTCCAGTGCAGTTGTGTAGATCACTCCCTGGAAATCGCACTACTGACACCGACACATTGCCAAATTCTAAAACTTAACTTTCATTTTGTGGAAGTGGCTGGACTTCCAGGTTATGTTGGCTGGTGACTGAAGGGTGTGTTTTTTTTTTTTTTAAATGCATTGTATACTTGGACACAGTGGCAATAGAAGCAGTAGATTTCTGCTTTATTAGTCTGAATTCACAGTGTACAGTGAAAGAGAAAAAAAACTATGACTAAAACTACGCTCCTGGTTGTGATCCTGACCTGTCATGGTCCATAAAGACCTTGGAAGTTTGAGGACTGTAGTGAAATTAAAGCCGGCACAGAGCTCCAGGAATAATCTAAAAATAACTGCCCTGCTGAAAGCAGTCCAGGGATGCACACGAAGATGATCTTGAATGAGAGACTGGACAGATTTTTTTATGTTTATGGGACGATTCCCAGAACTTTTTCAACTATCATGCCAGAAGAATCATTCAGTATATAAACAGAAGCACAATCGGACTTTGTAGTGTTACAAACTGTTACACAGTTTAGCTGGTTTGAAGTTCATTCCTTCCAGTGTGGGCGCAGCTTTCGTTCCTGTGTGTCATGTTAGCGTGTTCCTCGTGTTTGTCTAGTCTGAAAGGTTCAAACACTCAGTAACAAAACTCTGCAATGGCTTAAATAAAATGCACACTGCATTTTTATGACGTTTGGGAGCAACAAACAAAATAACATTTCAAATTATGTCTAAAGATGAACTGCACAGTCTTTGTGACTGGCACATGGAGTACTTGCTCATTTTTTGTGACTGGCACATGGAGTACTTGCTCATTTTAGACATTGGGACAAATGAGTCAGGAATCCTGGACCTCTGTGTACATGATAGCAGAGGTAAGAGATTTTTTGTGAAATCACTCAGAATGCTAGAAGAAAGCATCGGTTTAAGCCCTGTCATGGAAAATGTCATGCGATGGAAAATCCCGGCAGTTTGCCTGCACAAAAAAGGTTTCAGGGAGCCTCGATCCTGCCTGCGAGGTGTTTACAGATGGGATTTTATGACAGCGAAGGGGGGCGGGCAGATAACCTGCTCTCTGACTGAGGTCAAATGAAAGGTCACAGTCACAGTTCACACCTGTGCCGGCAATACAGAGCTCTCATCCTGTTTTTCAAATCACAGAGAGGCGAAGCTCAGACTGTTTTCAGGTCATTGCAAGAGTCAAACTTCACCCTGCAACCAGGAGAGTCTGACAGCATGCTGGGAAAAACCTGTCCCCAAAATGTAAGCAGAAGAGAAAGAGTGTTCTCTCTTCAAGCTACTTAGCATCTGTCTGAACCAGGCAAAAAGCAGCTGTTTTGACCTAAAAATGATGCTCTCCCATCTCAGGCATGAACATGTTTAATACATGGTTCCTCAAAAACAAATGTGGTGCCAATGACAACTAGCTAATGTCTCTAAAGGGAAGCTGTAAACCCAAATGCCTTTGCTCTGACTGTGTCAAACAGGGGGGATTGCACTGCCTGCCTGGCTTTTATCATCAGCAAACAGAAGGTCAAAGTGTAAAGAGGTTTATGACCTGAAAGGACTAGAACTAGAAAATGACCCCATGGTAACTAATAAACAACCCACTGTTGCAGATGAGCTACAGTTGCAGTCATTTTAAGGGTGGAGATTCTGTTTAATTCAATTTTATTTATATAGCACAACACAACAGCAGTCGCCACGAGGCACTTTACTTTTTTTATTTTATTTTTCAGCAAAAAACATAAGCTTAATCCTTTCTGGCTCCTTAATTGCCAGAAAGGCTAATATGTATTTAGATGTAAATGCGTTAATAACGTCTGTTTAAACACTTTTCAATAACTATTTTCATGTTACCTTGAAATAAAGCATCTCCCTCTGCTGTTGCTGCAGCTTACTGCAACTTCTACACGTGTGTACAAAATGTGCACGGAGTACCGGTGTCTGTTACATGCAACTTTGCACCTTAACCAGATGCTTTTGGTAGCCATCAACAAGCTTCACACCATTAAATTCAATTAAATTCAATTTTATTTATATAGCGCCAAATCACAACATAAGTCGCCTCAAGGGTGCATGCATTCCACCCTGGGGAAAAAACAGTCCCAAAAAAAGCATTAAAAGCCTAAAATTCCCATGACAGTCATCATGTACATGAAGAGTGTATATTAACGTCTGATCACAACCATATATTACTAGCTGGCTAGTAGCATGAAATCATGTTCGTCATTCTGACTGGCTTTTTGTGATGCCCACACTTCTAAAACATTTGCAGTGAAGTCTAAGGAGCTTGAAAAGAAAAGCGTCTTGACTTCTTCAAGCTGCTTGAAGACGTTTCAACTCTCATTCAAGAAGCTTCTTCAGTTCTACAGTCAAATGTGGAGAGTCCCAGATTTAAGCCCTGTGGGAGTGTCCCCCCCAAAAGGGACATGGACCCCCTATTGATCCTCTACCTAATCACACGAGCCAAGGTGTGAAAACGGGTGTAGGTCACAACCAGCCAAGGTTCCTGGTGAGCTCATTGAGAAGCCTAGCCCCACCCTATCATGTGATTTCCTGAGGTCAGATGGCCCAGGATGTAAGTGGGCGTTAAGGTGTCTGGGAAAGGCTCTCAAAACTGGATTATAGATGGCAGACAGTTGGTGTCGTAAGCCCCGCCTCTTTTCAAAGATGGTCGCTCACAGTAGACATAGATGGCGTCTTTCACTCCTCTTCACAGACATTTGCAGTACATATTTGTTTTTTTGTCACATTATGTTTTTATAACTAGCATGAGAGTTTGGAGCCGTCACTGAAAGGTATCTGCTATGTGTTTCTGATGTGTTGCGCGTTGTTTTAAGAAGGCTACAGTGATGCAGTAAACTGCGTCAGTCCTGCAAGTTTCCTGAAACTTCTCACCAGCAGCCCTGTCACCAACATATTTTAGATAAAATTACAGCTTAGATAAGATGCAGGGTTTTAGTGTGAGTAAGCTTCTTGCAAACAGTAATCATCACTTTTATGTGTCATCGTCTGAATATTCAAAAGAGTAGTAGGTGGAATTATAATCACGAGTGAAAAGAGTATTGCAAACACATTGAAAATCTGCCCGCCCTCACAGTGATACTGATTTGTTAACTCACAAAGAATACATAACGATGAGTTCCACTCCCATGTTAGGAAGTGTCAGTTTTCCAGTAATGACTCACTTTAGTTCTTTTTTTGAATGCTGCATAAAATATTTCCTCACATTTTTTGCCTTGCAGAATCAACATATCGTCATCAAGCCAATATCGACGATGAGGCTGTCACCATGGAGATTCTCGACACTGCAGGCCAGGTGAGACAATTTGTCAGGTAACTTTTTTCAGTAGTTTATCGCCTATGTTGCTGTTTTTGATTACACTGGGTAGTCTCTGGGTGGTAGTGAGATCAAACATTTCATGGCATTTCTTTAGATGTTTGCACAGTTGCAGAGGCCCAGAAACAAGTTGGCAACCTCTCGGCAACTTCCGGTCACAAGGGAAAACTACTCTGGAGTGGTTCTGGAGGTTGCTGGCTGTTGTAGGGTGAAATAAGTTGCCAACAGGGTGCTAAACTAGTTATTGCCTTGCTCGCTAGCAGCCACCTGTAGTTTGTTTGGAAGACACCAGCTTGTCTTGAAACACTCCCCAACTAAGTATGAACTGGAAAAACAGAAGGTACACCTCCAAAGTAAAGGTTTTGCCTTATCGCTGAAACCAACAACTTTCAAAAGATGCAACTTTTACTTTGGAGAAGTGTTTGCAACTTCAAGAAACCAGTCATGGGATACACATTTTTCTCTGAGTGTGACAGGTGTTTGGCTGGGCCTTTAGCAACTGATTTCAAAGACACTCAACCTCTGGAAATCACTTACCTACTGGTTGGGCGATACACATTTTTCTTAGGACAGATGTTTGCCGGGAGTCTCCAACCAGTCTCTAGGCCAGGGGTAGGCAACTCCAGGCCTCAAGTGCCGGTGTTCCATGATCCATCACAGCTGATTTAAAGGGCTAAATGACTCCTCAGCATTTCTTGAAGTTCTCCAGAGGCCTGGTAATGAACTAATCATTTGATTCAGGTGTGTTGACCCAGGGTGATATCTAAAACCTGCAGGACACCGGCACTCGAGGCCTGGAGTTGGGGACCCCTGCTCTAGGCCTTTGAGACTGTGACAAAGCCTTTATAACAAAACAAGCATTTATCCACTTTATGAATCATCTTCAGTCCTTATGCCAACTAACTGTCTGTAAAAAATAAAAAAAATAACAAGTCTTTCTGCATCATTCATTTTCACAGTTGTTTCTTTGTGCCAAAAGTAGGTGTACAGCCCACTGTCTATGTCGACTGAAAAAGTGTTAAGTGTTTTTCAACTCTGAAATGTACTTTAATTAAATATGAATGTGAATGTGACTGAAATAGACGGAAAAGACATCATTCAGTTAACTTGTCCTCTGATTATTCAGGTGTTTTGAAGAATTGTTTGGCTGGATGTGAGAGTGGATGGCACTTAAAGATGTTAATTTCCTGGAGTATAATAGAAGTATTGCCAGGTTTGACCATGAGCGAGAGCTTGCGTAAGTCCTTGGGCTGAAGATAAATATGCTGCACTGCTGCGTAGGTGTTCTGCTGGCGGCTGATTTCCCCTGCGACACTTTAGCCAAGCCATCTCTCTCTCTTGCTCTCATTACAATGTAGTCTATTTTCAGCTGGCATTAGGATGAGGTCTGAATGTTTCCAGACACGACTTCAGTGAATGTCAGACCTCTCACAGCAATGATTGTATCAAAGCATTGTGCTAACTCTCGTAATTTGTGGAGGTGGAGTCTTAAGTTCAGAAGGCGGCCAGGTTCGCAAACGTCAGACTCATCTGTCCTCTGGAGGAGGAATGTAGTATTTTCAAGTCGTTTTCTGGCATCTGGTACAAGAAAATTACATAATCAAAAAACTTCCTTCCAACAAAATCATTCCTTAATGTTTAAAATGGGTTAGAAATAAATTATTATTATTATTATTTATTTAGCATATTTGGATGTATAATTGTGCGTGTGTGTGTGTGTGTGTGTGTGTGTGTGTGTGTG